ATATATATATAGTAATATTTAAAAAATATTTATATTTGAAAACTTTTTTATAGAATAAATTCGTTATCACAGCAATAACCGATATTTGTTACAAGATTTTCTTATTGTAATAAGAAAGCATTACTATTTCTCAATTGTCATAATTAGTAGTTTATAATAGAGAATATATTAAATAAAATATTTTTGGTACTTGTTTTTTTTTTTAAATTTCAATTGTCATTTCTCCAAAAATGTAGGAGATATAAAAATTATAATTTAAAATCTTTAAAATTATTTGTTAAATAATACTTTCTCTTATAAAAATTATGTAACAAGAATTTCCATTCTCAAGTATTTACATTTCATTATAGTGTTGTTGATGTAACTGCACTGACACCATGCACTAATACTAGAGGTGGTAAGTCTGCTGATAATTCTGTTAATAATTGAAGGTATTGATGATATATAGTATTTTCATCCCATGTATTTGATACTGGGGGTGCAGGTAAATATATAAATATTGTAGCAGTTTGTGAAGAATGTTGTCTAATTAATTGATTCACGCTGAAAAATAAAATTAATCAATTAGAAATATAAATTACTTGAAAAATTGTTAAATATCATTTAAACAGCAAATATATAAAATAATTTAAATAATATTTACCTCAAAATATAAGCACGTGAAATATTACTTAAGATATCACTACTTTCATTGCTTGATTCATATTGACTTTCTACAGCTGAATCAATGAGAGAATGACCTTTTAGCCCACGTACTTGCGTTCCCCAATTCGGAATCTTTTTAATAGATGCTGATATTCTCAGCATATTTAATAATTTTCTTATACGAAATTCGTTAGAAACCCGAGGAAATTCACTAATCGAATTTTGTGAATCTGATATATTTAAACTTGAGTTACTATCTGAAATTTCACAATGAAATACCCTAAGATGTAAATTTTTCCATATAGGTACCATGTTGATAATACATGCAAGTTGCAACATAAATAATGAAGTTGTATCAAATGGATCTTGATCTGTTGGTTGAAAAAAATTCACAGGCCATACATCAATATATTTTAAAGATGAGTTTCTAAAAAATGAAATATAAGAAATAATTTAATGATACAAATCAATAAAATATTTATATACTTACTTAGCTATTTGTAATTTATTTAAGGTATGAAAATTTCGACATAAACACAAATTTTTTTTCATTCTTAAAATATCTGAACACATTCCTACATATTGTATTGGATCCAGATTTTTTTCTGTATTTGTATGCCTTAAAGGAAATGCAGTACTATTTGGTAAAGTTGAAACATTTTCAAACATATCAGTTGCATATTGTGAATTTTTGAAAAAATCTATCGGCATTTGTTCATCATAAAAACCAAGAACAATTGTATTTGGTTTCATTGCTCCCATTCCAGATATTCTAATTAAATGATGTAGTCCTTCACGTACAGTTTTTGTAACTGTTAATTCAACAAATGCTTTTACTTTCATATGATCAACTAAACTCAACCAATGTGGATATTCTTCTATGGTAGGATCAATATTCTGACCTAAAAATTCTCCAACTTTTACATGCCCTATTACATAAAGTCCTCCTTTTTTTAAATCATTTACAAAATCTATAAGTGGGCATGCTGAACGTGGAGATGCTACCATTAAGAGCATTTGTGGTCGCCAAAATTTTACATGATCTTTACGTGAATCTAACATTAGTAAGTACTTTCTGACTTGATGAAATATAAGTGCTTGAGAAATGCTTCCCCAAGGAGCGTTTTTACTTGGAGAAAATAAATGCAAAACAATAATTAAAATTAAACAAAGTATTATGCTACTAGAAGCATAAATACTATTTATAACAAACATCATTATTAATGTACCAAGAAGGCCAATTGTAGCCGTATGCCATGTAAAATAATTAAATGTCGGTCTGTAAAAATGTGTAATTGTTTCTATTCTTATTTTCAACATTTACATATTCTAAAATACATAAAATGAAACATACCTAAAATTTGGAGCACTTGCAAGTTCAAGACCAAGACAAGCTAAATTAGTAGCTAAATAACTCAGCAAAAACAATACTGAATTAATCTGAGCAATAGTATTTAAAGAACCTATTAACAAAATTATTTGAACTAAACTCCATGAAGTTAAAACTGCAGCAATTGGATTTCCTTTCCATGTCCCTTGTATTATGAAATTTAAACCAGAACCTACAAATTAAATAGACAAAATAAATAAATATATAAGGAATTCATAAATTCATTAAAATTTATAATATTTACCAAAAACATTATCTTTTGCTAGAGCTTCCAAAACTCTACTTGATCCTATCAAATTACTTAAACCAGCACTAAATGTAGCTGTCAATATGCCAACTGCTACAAATGGTGGCCAAATATTAATTGGCATCATATACATAAAATCATTTTGCAATAAAAATCGACTTGTACTTGCAGCTGTAAGAAGAGAAAGAAGAATATAACATATAAATGTAAATAATACTGCTGACAAAGTTCCACGTGGAATGTTTCTGCCTGGGTTTTTCAATTCACCTACAAATTTTTATTAAATATTAAAATTTAAAATATAAATAAAATAAAAATTATTTTATTTAATAATTTTATTTTAGAAATACCACTCATATTAGCTCCAGCCATTATACCAGTGACACCACTAAATAATACACCAAAAACACTTGCAAAATCAGTCATTGTTCCTTCACTTGAATAATCACGACTGTAATTTGAGTAAAGATTACTTATAAGAGTAGATGACAATAATCCTGTATATGTACCATTAACATGTTCTGTTGCATTCTGAACCAACATATTTGCATCTGGTATTGGTATCTATAATAAAAAAAGATAATTCATATAAATATTTCTTACATCAATTAATAAGTTTTTCATCTTTTACATAATTACCTCCATATACCCTTTTGCCAAAAAGCTTATGAAAACACTTATTAAACAAATACATACAACTGCCAAAATTGCAACACTAGTTTTTGCAAACATTGCAGCTCCTATTAAACATACTATTAAATTGGCAGTATTTAATATAGAACAATATAAAAATCTCCACCATCTACCATCTGGTATCAGTGCACTTTTACCAGCCAAATAACCAGAAGGACCAAAATTTTCTATTAAACCTTCTGCACATCCAGAAATACAAAGTGCACTGGATACAATATTAGCCATAAAAAATAATGTACCAATAGATCCACCAAATTCTGGTCCAAGTGTACGACTAATCATAACTGTATAATTAATAATAGGAAAAATATATATATAAAAACATATATAAAACATATATATTTATAATATTTTTTAAATAAAAACTTAGAAAAAAATTCTAAAAAAAGAAATATATAATAAAAAAGAAATATATAATAAAAATTGTATGAGTTATTAATATCTTAAAATATCTTAGTATCTTAAAATATTTTTTTAAAATAATGTATTAGTAATTTATATAATTTATAAGTCATAAACATAAAAATTAAACACATATCATAGTCTAATATAATTTGCATTAAAAATATAGTATCAATTAATAATATCTTATTTTTACATATTACATTTTATGTATAATAAACTAACATTATTAAAAATATAATAAAATTTAAATAAGGATACAATAAGCACCTCCTCCCTCAACTGCACCATTTGTAGAAATTGCACATACAGATGCTACTGTAAATACTAAAATTCCATATGCAATTATGAATTGTATCAAAGTGACAAATAATCCAGCATTGCCCACAATATATCCTATAATTTAGAAAGTTTATCTATATAAAGAAAATTCATATAAATTACATAAAAAATAAATATTTTATTAATAAAATTATAGAAATAATTTAATGAAATATTTTGCATTATTTTAATAAAATTCATACCCATTCGTATAAAAATTAAGGCACTGAACATTGATAATGTAACAGGACTAAATACACCAGCAAATGTTCCCAAAGTACGGCCACTATCTGCATTTAAACTACCAAATTCCACATATCCATCTCCTTCTGTATGCTGTACTTTTCCAAACTTAAAAAAATTACTTAATCTATGCAAAACACTTCTTCCATGAATTAAAGGAGCTTTTTCATTACTTATCTTGACATGTACAGGTTCATTATTTGTTGAACCTACTTCTGAAGCCATCATTTTTTTAATTTTCTAATAAATATATAAAAAGACATATAATAATAAACTTTTACATATAATAATAATATTAGTAATTATTTTTTAATTTTTAAAAATTTTTAATAATAAACAAGGTTATAAAAAGTTAGAATGAAACAATGAAAATATTTTAAATATTAAACTTATTTAATGATTTACCTTAAAATTAAATTAATATACTTAATTTTATTATTTACATAATAATATATAAAACTATTATTAAATCGAATACATGTATAAAACTATCATTAGATATAGCATACAATCTAAGTCAGAAACTTATGTCATCTATTGAAATGTCAAATCGTAACTAACTATAAAATTTGTACCAATTATAATTCATAACAAAGATTATTAAACTGATATCAAAAGATACTGATTATTCTTTTTATCTATTGAAACATAGATTAAAAAATTATCATTTTTTTTTTAAATATTATAAAAATTTTATAAGGAGTTTTATAGGGAACTTTTATAATATTATTCACTCATGAAAGTTTTTGATTCATATTTGGTATTATTGATACACTGAATATTGTAATATGATTTTGTAATTGTAAAATATGTTTAACGTGTAAAATAAGTTTGAGTTTACTCAAAAAATCTTTGTACTTATATAACATAAAACAACGTGATATATATATATACACAAAATATTAAAGTAATGTGTAATTAATAGATATTAAACTTAGAGATTATTAAAAATTTCTTTTTCTAAAGAAATAAAAACATGTCTAATATTTAGAATATTACATTATATAGATTGAAATTTTATCTATTTAGCATATTAGTAGGCAAATTTATGATTATAGCAATTCTTTACATGACTTCTCAATCATTACCGTGATTATTCGGAAGAATTATTTTTTAAAGAACATTTGAATGTAATCATAGAATATTAAAATGATTATATATGTAAAAAATTTGATTTTACCTTTGTCACGGTCAAATATGATAAATTTGACATCAGTTCGTCATATAAATGCAATGGTTAAAACAGATTCTGTAAAATCTTTATTTTATAAAGAATATGGAGAACCTGCAGATGTTTTACATGTTACAACACAACCTATTAATCAACCAGAAAATAATGAGGTAAATTAAGAAAATATATTTATTTGATATATATATATATATATATTCTAATAAAAATATTAATATTTTATAAAGGTTTCTGTAAAATGGTTATTAGCACCTGTTAACCCAGCAGACATAAACACAATACAAGGTAAATATCCAAGTAAACCACCTTTACCAGCTATTCCAGGAAATGAAGGAGTAGGTGAAGTAATAGCTATTGGATCCAATGTAAAACATTTAAGTGTTGGTGATAGAGTTATACCAAATGGCACAAATTTAGGAACATGGAGAACATATGCAAATTATACTTCAGAAGAACTTATGAAAGTATATAATATATTTTTAAATATGAGATATTTATATTTTATTAAAATAATATAATAATTAATTCATGTTATACCAAAATTTTAGGTTCCAAAAGAAATTGGTACTATAGAAGCTAGTATGTTAAATGTAAATCCATGTACTGCATATAGAATGCTTAAAGATTTTGTAGAATTAAAACCTGGAGATACTATAATTCAAAATGGTGGAAATTCAGCTGTTGGACAAATGGTTATACAATTATGTAAAGTATGGAATTATAAATCTGTTAGTGTTGTACGAGATAGACCAAATATACAAGAATTAAAGGTATGGAGAAAATTAAAAATAAATTTTATTTATATAATGGATAATTTAATAAAAAGCTTTTATAGAATCATTTATCAAGTTTGGGTGCTGATGAAATTCTTACTGAGAATGAAATAAGAAAAACTCAAATTTTTAAAAGTAAAAAATTGCCTTCACCAAAATTAGCTCTGAATTGTGTATGTGGACAAAATGCATTGGAAGTTTCAAGACATTTAGCACATGGAGGTATTATGATAACTTATGGTGGTATGTCTAGAGAACCTTTAACAGTTCCAATTTCTGCACTTATTTTTAAGGTATATTAATTAAAACATGTGAAATAATATTATTAATATTAAATCATTAATATTTTTTAATAATTATTAAATAGGATATAACATTTAAAGGATTTTGGATGACAGCATGGACAAAAAAAAATATGGATTCTATAGAGCGTCAAAATATGTTTCGTGAATTAGGAGCATTATTTAAAAACAAAAAATTAAAAGCTCCACTTCATAAGTTAGTACCATTTCATCAATATCAAGAAGCTGTTATAAATGCATTACATACAGATGGCCGAACTGGAGTAAAATATATCTTGGATATGACTAAACCATAAAGTAAATTTTTTTTCTAGATTGTAATTTAACAATTTTTTAATGATTGCATTTTTAATATACTTAGTATATTAAAAATTTTTATTTATTAAAAATGAATGTTAATATATTTAATGCCAAAAATATTAACTTTATGATGTTTGCTATGATACATATTTTGTAATGAATTTTTAAATTAAATTAAATATATTTTTCATTAAAACTACGAAATAATTTCAAAATAATTCATTATAAATAGCAGATAATAAAATTAAATAAAGCTTAACTATATTTATAAAAAATGAACTATTGTTTTACATAAAAAAAATATTTATTTGTGTGACAGAATTTTTATATTTGCATAAATATAAAGTTCAAAAAAATTTGTATGCATTGTATTAATTATACAATGTAATTGAAAAATAGATTAAAATTATTCCGTTTTATCTAATAATTCCAACAAATTTGTATTATGTTTTATCTCTTCACAATCATTTTCGAAAAGATCTGCACGTATAATATCAAGTTTCGTTTTATAATCTTCATTGAGTTTTGTTTTTTCGAATTTTACAATTGCATCATTGTGATTATCTTTTAAAGAATCAAAATTTTCTTTTATGTTTGTACTATCATTATCTTCATTTGAAAGCAAATTCAAAGTAAAGGGTCGTTTATATGAAGTTTCTTCAGTTCCTAGTTGAACAGCTAACATACCAAGTTCTGCTTTTATACCACAATCTTTTATATAATTTTGGTTTTCTTGTTCAGAAGTTAATTTCGATATATTATATGACATTGAATACCTATGTAATATTTTTTTTATATATTTCTGTCTTAAAATATTTTATACATACATATGATACTTACATATTTTTTCCAAGTATTGTACCGCGTTCTCCAAAAAGATTAAAAGAACCATTACAGTATGTTTCCAAATTTATATCACATAATTTAATATTATAAAAATTAGTTTTATTCTCTTCATATTTTTCATCATATTTGTGATGCATTGAATTAAAACTTCCATCATCATTTTGTAATCCAAGTCTAAGAAGAATAGATATCTTTACGCAATAATATTCTAATTCTTTTATACAATCATTCCTAGCATTCCAAACTTCTTCAAAAGTTAGAGTACTATAAAACTATAAAATCATTAGTAAATTATTTTAAAGATTAAACATGAATAATACATGAATACATTTAATTAATGAATAAAATATTTACATCAGTCACCATTTGATGTACCAATCCAACACATTGTTGAGCATTTAAATTGCTAACCATATCACGCATTGCATCTATGTGATTTAATGTTAACAATATAACTTCTACAGGACCAGTAGCTGCAATTAACTGATATTTAACCATCATAATCATTAAATCAAATAGTTTATCCATACTATTTTTATCAAGTTTCATTATTGATGATAATACAACAGATTCTAAAGTAGATCGTAAAAAAGATACTTTGGTCAAAGATTTTTGCTCAAATATAGAAGATAATGTTTTAGGATTAAGCAATGCTGCAGTTACATCATCTAATACTACAAATTAAACAAAAACATATTAAAAAATTAATCAATATGTAATGATATACAAAAAAAAACAAATATCTGACATAAATTAGTAATACATTATATACTTTATCTTATAATATTAAACTAGCCTTGTATAGTTTTATCAATACTTATTCTTTGTGCTTTCAATCTTTGTCGCAAAACATATAACATTTCGCCACCCATATTTAAATAAAGTATTGGTGTTGCATATGATGACATTTTTTTAATCACTTCTACTTTTAGAAACAAAGTACTTTTATAATTCTTATATACGTATGAGTTAATCTACCGATAGCGTTGTCTTAGCAACAAAAGTGTACATAAAATTATTCGACGTAATGTATTTAAATAAAATTCCGCGATATTTTATATTTTACAGATATAGACAATCATTTTTTCAAAAGCAAGCATACTACATTTCAAGTTTACTTGTTTTTTTTAACCAGTAAATTAAAAAATTATATATATTATATTTTTAATTTTTTAAACTTTATTTTGTAAAACACATTAATATTATAACTACAATAAGATAATAATTGCATACATTAACTAGAAAAATTTAAGTTATAATAATTAATAATTAATATAATAATAATAACAATAAACATTTAAATAACAATTTAAAATTTTTTTTTCGATTTAAATTTTTAATAATATAAGTCATTTAAAATGAAAGACATATGTTACGATTTTTATTTTTATTATATATAATTTGTTTCAAAACATATTTTAAGTTAAAAAAAAAAATATTTAACATCTGTATTTTACGCTGAACAGATATTAGGCAATTAATTATAATAGTCTTGTAACAATATTAAGTAACAATAATATTAATTATTTATAAAATAATATAAGTGGACGGTTATATGTAACAAAAAATATTATATTCCGCATTTTTATAAAATATCTTAAATCTAGGTTCAAAATTGGCTTAGTTACATGGAACGGTTTAAATTGTAGAAAGAATTTAATAGCCACATTATTTAAATTCTCACACCGTTTACCCATTTGTAACATATATGAAGATTTCATTCCAAAAAAATATGCATAAATATTTATCAGTCTAATATTAATCTATATAGTGTATATGTGCTATTGCACGAACTTAATCTTCACATGTTTTGTTATTCATTATATTTTTTTTATATCATTTTGAATATAATTTTACTTACAATTTAATTAATATTAATTAAATTTTTAAATTGCATTGCATGTATATTAATGCGCACAGAAATTCGACAATAGAAATAATAATAAAAATGAAAAAAATATCAGTACTTAAAATTTTTACACGAATTTAACGTTTTTTAAATATGAATGTATAGAAACATTTGTTAAAAAAACAAATGTAATCTTCAATGATACTCGAAAAATTACTAAAATTAATGCTCAAAAATTTGTAAATATTTTGTACAATCTACGTGAAATTATATTACACTTTATCTCGTAAATTACTGCACATTATAAAAAATCCAATGACAGATATTAAATATAAGTAAAATATTTTACTTAACTTAAAATTATTGAAGATTTTTTAAAAATATTTAATCTGACATAAATTCATCTTTGATTATATGCTTTATATACAAATTTTAAGTACATTGTATCACGTTGTAATTTATAAAAACTCTTTGAAAATATATAACATTTATGTAATATTTTAAACAAAATTCTAAAAAAAAAAAAAAATATATAAAACACAACTCCATTTATATTCATTCAAATTATAAATAACATTATACCGAAAATAATATTAAGAAATTAAGATATTAATATTGCACTCAGTACTTTAATTGATGCAATGAATAATATATTTATTTTAAATAATGTAAAATTCATTTTTGATTTTTGCATCATTTATATAAAGTACATAAACATTATCTTGAGTATACTCAATTTATATATTACATTGAAATAATTGCGCTAAAATTTTATTTTTTATTCTTTGAAGAAATATCACAATTGTTTCTAATTTTATATTTTTATTATATATTTTTATTATATCCTCTTCTGAAACTGCACAAATTATACCATTTCTTTTTAGTTATATAATGATTATTTAATTTTAGGAATTTCTCGAAATAATTTTCTAAATGAAATTTTTCTATTTCGAGAGAGTATTAATGTTACTTATAATTTAATTTATAAATTATATGTCCAAGTACCTTTTGCTGACTGAATATAGCGAAGAGGAACGATCGTGTTCCTAATATCAGGACTTTTTGACCTTCTTACACAATCCTGACTTAAAACCCTGCATCCTGGACTTAAAGTTAAACCATTAAAGCTACTGCGAGGGATGCTGTCACTACTTGCAACCCTTCTAACATCATTGGCTTTCTTTTCTTCGCTGTTACTAACTACAGACATTAGATTATCTGGTATAGAGTCCCTAAGATTATATACATTCTGATTATTTCCAAAATATTTTGAATTCGGATGAATAGATACATTTTTTGGACTTCGCATTGAAGTTTCCATACAACCATTCCGGCGAATTTGACACTTATCAGTATTATCATCGATCGAATGTCGATTACATGATATATGATGATCAATATTACAATTTGTATCATTATCAATAATATATTGGCAAGGAATTACCATACTATCGAGAGAATCTGAAAATTCTGGACTTGAAATTGAAGAAACACTGCCCATATGAGAAAAAGTGACCGTCCCCTGATTTTGGGGACGGCGTCAGAAACATCATTCTTCTAATTCATCCATTCGATTCCTAACAGCCATTTCTACTACTTCTAAACTTGGATAATCAAGCTCTTTAACTAAACATAATACAGCTGATAATATGTTTGAGTTCTAAAATCAAAATATTTTATGTTATTTTTAAATCTATTTTTAAATTTTAATAAAACAATATATATGTGAAATATACTCTTGTAACAGGCCTTCTGTGGTAATGAAATTGGGATCTACATTTTTCCTTATCAGAATGTCTTACCCATCCAGGTACTTGGTTTGAATCTTCCTACAATATAAAAAAATTCCATTTGATTCATTTTTATATAATTTATATTGCTAAATTTTAAATCAAAATTAATAATAATAATAATTTTAATTTTAACTCTTTCTACATTGTGATGAACTGCCATTCGTCTAGGTTGAGATGATGGTTGATGTTGCTCTTCATAATCTGATTTTATCCTGTGATCATGATGTTCTTTATATTCAGATTTCAATCTATTGTCATAATCATAATTATTTCTTTCTGCTCGTCTTTCATCTAAAATTTCATTTGTAGCATATTGTGTTCTTGGAGACGTTGGTGCATATGTTCGTTGAGAAATATCATTATTACTATATTCTGCATAAGATCTTCTATCATCATAATCTCCATTATGTCTAGATATTGCTGATCGGTCATCATATTCCTAAAAATAATTTTAGTAAAAAAGTTTTTTTTACTTATTTTCAACAATAGTATATTATATATTATATAGATATATTTAATTCTTCTAAAATTTAAAAAATATTACAAAATTAATTACACTTAATTATTATTTTATATTTGATAACAATATTGATAATTAGATAATCTGTTTCCAGTGAACCACTCAGAATTATCTAAAAGATTTTGTTAAAATTAGAATTCAAAGTTTACAACATTTGTCATAAAAAAATCAATTAAAAATAAAAATATGCTAATAATATTATAATATAATAATTTAATCTAAATTATATTTTTTATAAAAATTACATCTTTTGTTTTTTATTTAAAAAAAAATAAATTTTAATTTTATAAAAACAAATAAATATTATATATGTTTAGATTTTACATATTTAGATATAAAGTATTTAATATTTAAATTTTAATTATATTATATTTATAATTATATCTTTACTAGCTAAAAAAAAAATCATTTAAAATCAATGTCACTAATTGATAAATAGCAATTAACTTTGAGTAAGCAATATATAAATTTAACTAATGAATATTAGAACTATCAAGGTAACACTAGAAATAACACTACTTTGCACAAGCATTGTGCAATCTATAAAATGTACCTTGATTATTTCAATAGTGTTAGTGGCCACGTTTTCACTGACGTTGCGCGACTCTGTACGTATAGTGTCATCTTTGCTTTGATTCTTTGACTGTCCATTTGCTTGTTGCTGTCAGTATATGATTGCAGATAAAAGGAGCAATAAAATCATGCTTATTTAAATATTGTTAAATATTGATTTAGATACTTTGCTCAATACAACTAAGAATAAATTACGAATAGAGTTAACATTATACAATTAAGAAAAAATAAAAAATTAATTACATTTCTAATTTTAATATGAAAATAAAAGTAATCTAATGAAAATTTGAAACATAGAATAATCATTTTCGTTTACAGTTTCATTAAATATATATTATATTATATTAATGTACATTTTTTTTACATGCAAAAATACACAATGCAAAGCATTGACTTACCTCATATGTATATTGATTATTTTGTGAATAATGATGTGATGGTGACGCATTATAATTTGCATTTCTATGATCTGGATCATGATACTCTTCTTGAACATGTGTCTCTTCAAAACTTCTCTGTAAGTAAATATGCATATAAGAAATTGTCTCTTTGTATTAAATAAATATATGTGCATGTATATATAATATTATAATAATAATATAATATAATATATAATTTAGATTTTAATAAAATTATTAGAAATAAAATTTCAATAAAAAAATTTTAACAACTTGAATTTTATATTACCTGATCACTTGAAGAACTATATCTTCGATGTCGTGTTACTTCACTTTCTTCAATATATTCAGTAGTAATATCCTAATTATTAAAATATTACTTAAGTGTTAAGATTTTATTAAAATGAATTTATTATGATGAAAATAAATAAAATCATAGATTTAAATATAATGATACATACAATAATACATATACATATATATCATTAAAAAAATTAAGTAAAGATTTTAATATTAAAAATATTACATGACGATAAAGAATGATTTAAATAAATATATTAAAAAACAATTTTATAAAATAAAAATAACAAATAATAAATAATCTTACTTCTGGACTAACTGCATTTGATTGTGGTGGGGAAGCATACATATCAAGAAGAGGATGAACTAAAACACGACCTCTTGTCAATGCAGTTTGCACTTCCTCAGGTGATACTACTTCATCATCAAGTTTTTGTAAATTTGGTAAAGCTCTTAAAACTGATAACCGATACCTAGAAATAAATTAATTATTCGGAAATTTATTCAAATATAGTATCGAAATATATTATATCTTTTAAAACAATAAAAAATGTAAAGATTTTTAAAAATTATTAATGTCTTTTTATTCACATACAAAAAATTATTTTGAATTGAGATTAATATTCGAATTATTTACGATCAGTAATCGAAATCGTTTTATTTAATTATTTAATTTATTAGATTTAATTTTATTAATTGCATATCAACAGTTAAATATATTATAAATTTATATTAATATAATATTTCCAATAATCATTAGTAATTAAATATGATAGTCCATTCATCATAATCTAACGAAAAAAACGCGCAAATCAGATAAAAAATTTCTTTTGCTTGCCATGTGTGCCAAGGAACTAAAAGGATTTTTTAAAACAATTTATAAACATGCTGATTAACCTTTTCTGCAAGATCTATCAATATGCACAATTCTATCTCTATTCTATTTCTTTTTTAAAATCTCTTAATATGCATAATTCTTAATGATACTGTATATACCCTTCCTTCTCAGCACAAGGATTTTCTCCAAGCCATAAATTTCTTAAGTTTGGTAAACCTTGAAGATAACAAACTTCATTTAAATCTTCAATATTATTATTTCTAACAAATAATTCTTGAAGACTTAAACAATATTGAAAATCAGCAAGGGTGTTGATATGATTAACACTGAAAATGAAAAGAATTAAAATATAATATCGTAATAATATAAATATATCAATCTTTATATATAGAAATGTTTGTAATAAAATTTGATTGAATTTCAAAAAAATATTCTATTTCAAAGATAATTATTTAATAAATATTTAAATAATAAAATTATAATTAAAAAATATAAAACCAGTAATAATATAAAGTTTTAGAATATATTATTCATAAAAATAATGCATTAAAAAATTGTTATATGATTATATTGCTACATTTCACTTGAATTAGTTTAAATAAAATCTATCAAATGATATTAAATCTACAATTAAATGATATTATTTAAATTATTTAATTAAATTTATTATTAATATTATGATTAATTGATAATAATATCATAGTATAAATATAAAAAGAAATCTAAAATTTTAATAGTTTTCAAATATTAAAACATTATATATCATGTCAAATTATTTTCATTTTTCTTTAAAAGAATATTAAAATATATAATAAATTCAAAACATGTGAAGAAATTTTGTAGATTGTATATAATCTTGAGATTTATGTAAATTTATTTTGAATTAAAGACTATATAAATTATTAATATTAAAAATTATAAACTGAAATCAATAGTTTTCTTTTCTTAACACAATAATTTTTAAGTAACATTTCTATATAAAATGTAAAGATAAATCATAATTAATTACCTTAATGATAATACTTCCACATTTTTCATTTTTCTTAAAATGCTTACATCAGTTAATTCTGTGCCCCTATTAAAAATATAATATTAATATAAATATTAATTAAATAGTTATAAATATTTCTTACAATTTTTAATAATGAATAGTAAAAGATTAATAAAAATAAATCCAAATAATTTATTAATTATTTAATATTGTAAATTAAATATAAGTAATTAACTATAATAATATTTTTGTAACATATTTATTTCAGATTTCAACTTAATTATACAATTTTAATAATTTTGCAAATACTAAATAATTCTTTATTAAATAAATATAAAATTAAATAAATAAATTTTTTTAAAATAATAATATTTTAAAAATATAATGATATAAATATAATTATATTGATTCTTAGGAAGAATTAAATAGTATAATATAATAACGAATGTCATTGATTAAATTGAATACATTATTTTAATATAATTATATGTTAATACGTAATAATGATAGATAATAATAGAATAAAGATAATGATTTAACGATAGAATAAAGAACAACTTACTTAAAAAAATATAATATTTTTTTAATACTTACCAACAATTAAGTTTCTTTACGGCAGAGAAATCAGACATTCGCGTCCGAGCCACGACCATTTCTTCTGTTAATTTTACCATAATGAAATTTGTAATTTATATAAAAGTACTTGAAATAAAATAATAATAAAAAATTTTGCGGATATTAGAAATACAAAAAAAATGCAATTTAGACCATTATGCCAAATTTCTTAACTGTAAATCAAAGACGTAACCAAAACCCATCGCCATGATGGTGTGCCGTTGACTAGTTGAAAACTATAGTAAGAAGCTTTCATAAAATACTTAAACGTTCTCCACAGTATACGCATGTGTACTATATAACTGAAATACAGATATGCGACTCATTTTCATTTCTTTAATTATATTTAAATCTGTTACAAATAGTTCATATAGAAGATACACACAAAAATAGCAAAATAATCATTTCAATAGATATTGAAAATTTTGATTATAGATAATACTTTAAAGTTTATTAAATTTTATAATATAATTCCTTATAATGTAATAACAGTTTTAAATAATCTTTGAGCACATTCATGTTACTTTTTATTTATTTCTAGCTTTTTATCATAATTTACTAGGGAAATTATTCCCGCTTTATTGATACACCCTCTTCTTTTCATTAGAGAAGAATTGGAGTTTTGTAAAATCGAAGACGCACTCGTGATAAAAGAATATTGATGATGCATACATAGTAACACGTGTCAAAACGTGCAAAAATAAAGATCTAGTGATCATATTATTTCTGCAACAGTGCTCATTAATATCAGACATTAAAGATTAAAAAAATGCAGAAAGTTGGAAAATTGAATTCCTCAATTGATATCATTCCATTACAAGGATCTAGTGGAGATTATAAATCAAAAACCATGAATAATAAACACAAAATTGATTCTTCCCATAAATTTTTGCGAGATAAATTATTAATTTCACGTGTGCAAACGGTAATTTAATTATGTCATAATATTTAGAATATTTTTAATTTAACTAATGGAATATGTCTATTAAAATAAACACTTTTATATTACACAATTTGCGCGGTAAATTCATGCATTAAACTTAAAAACATATAATATAATGATTTTTTTTATATATGTAAAATATTTTTATATAAAGTAATTTTTACAAACTTTTAAAAATAAAATTCGAATTTAATATTTTTTTTAAAAGTAAAATCTGATTTTATTTTATATTTTGAATATTTTATGTTTCAGAATTTAACTTTATAATAACTTCATAAAAAATTTAATCATATAATTATTAACTACTTTGAAAAATTATTTTTAAATTTAAGATAGTAATAATATATTAATATAATAACTTATTAATATTTATTATAATTTATTAAGTTTATATAAGTTTCTGAATGATTAATTTTATTATTATTTTAGTATATGCATGAAAATGAAAATAAAGTCTATATTGATGTTAATGAAATGGCAGATGCTTTACAAAAAAAATATAAAGACTACCGTATTAAAAAACGGGGTCCTTTTAGAGCATTAGTACGTAAAGCATATGATGAACTTACAGAAATGTTTGCAAAAAAATATTGTTCTCGTGAATGGCCTGCTTATGATGATGAAGATGAAGAGGAAGAAGTTGATCTTGAGGTATAAATATAAATATAGTAAAGTATAATATAATGTATTATATTAAATCTTGAGAGAAATATGTTGATTTTAGTCAGATCCTCAAAATACTATGTTAGATGGAATGTTGTTAAAAATGTATAAAAAATCACAAAATAAACAAAATGGAAATTCTAGTGATAAAGAACTTATAGATATTAGTAGTGATGATGATGTAAATAAAATGGAATCAAATTCAAGAAAAGCAAGTGAACCTGAAGTTGTGGAAAATCTACAACAAAAACCAGGTCCATCTTCAAGTACAGAAAAAACTATACATGTTAAAGAAGTTGAGCAACTGAGAAGAGTAAATTTAAAGCTTTTTTTATTCCTGTTTAATTTTTTAAATTTTGTTAATTAATAGTATCTAATTGTAATTTAATATAAAATCTATATTAAAATAGTATAAGTAAATATATTAATTACTATACTTGTAATTACTAATACTTGAAATTTATTACATTAAAGTAATATTATTATGAATATTATTAGAAATATTGCATTTAATTTTTAATTTAATTTTTAATTTAATTTTTAGCCTAGTAAAGAAATACAACAAACAACAACAACAAGTACAACAACTACTACAACAACTACAAGTACAGCAATAGAATCTGCTAAGAAGCGACAACGTGACGAAGATGCTGATTGTCAATTCACGTTTGTAAGGAAAACTAAAGGAATACCAATTTCTGATCCAAAAATCACATTTTCAGACATAAGAGGAAATGATAAAACCAAAAGAATACCAATTTCTGAACCAAAAATCACATTTTCAGACATAGGAGGAAATGATAAAGTTTTAAAAACTGTATGTAAATTACTTGCTCATATGAAACATCCAGAAATCTTTAAAGAACTTGGTATATCTCCACCAAGAGGATTTTTACTTCATGGTCCACCTGGATGTGGAAAAACATTATTAGCACATGCTATTGCTGGAGTAAGTTACTATTTTAGAAAATTGATTTATTTCTTATTTGATTATTTATTTTATATTTTTAATAACTAGGAATTAGGTATACCATTATTGAAAGTAGCAGCACCTGAATTAGTTACAGGAGTATCAGGTGAAAGTGAAGCAAGAATTCGAGAATTATTTGAACAAGCACTTGCAATTGCACCTTGTGTAATTTTTTTAGATGAAATTGATTCTGTAGCGCCACATAGAGCCACAGCTCAAAGAGAAATGGAAAGAAGAATTGTTGCACAATTATTATCATGTTTAGATGGTAAATTACTATTATAATTAGATTATAGTTAATTATGCTAATCTTAAAATAATTTTTTAAATAGAAAATGTATTATTGAATAGAATTAAGTTTAAAAGAAAATGGTACTAGAGTATTAGTACTTGGAGCAACGAATCGTCCTGATTCATTAGATCCAGCTTTAAGAAGAGCTGGTCGATTTGATCATGAAGTATGTCTAGGAATACCAGATAGAGATGCAAGAGCAAAAATTTTAGCTGTTCATACAGAAAAAGTAGCACTTTCTCCAAATGTTAGTTTATCTACAATAGCTTCACTTACACCCGGTTTTGTTGGTGCAGATTTAGTTGCATTAATTAGAGAAGCAGCTATGGCAGCTGTGGATAGGTAATAAATTTAATAAATATTTTAAAATTAATTTCTTTAATATATTTCTCTCAGTTATACGTTCTTATATTTTTATTAGAATACTTGAAAACTTAAAATCAGTACCAGATAATAAATCTTCAGAAATTCCAGAAAATAATACTGTTAATGAAAAAAAAACTGAAAATTTTGAAAATTCTGGTAATTTAGTGGATGAAGTGACCATTGAACCATCTACCTCAGATCAAAATGTTCCTAAGTCAGAAAGTTCTCAAGTAACTTTAGAAATGGATGTAATACAAGAAAATTCTAAATCTCCAGATTTAACGGGATTACTTACTTGGTTACGTAATGATCCGCCGCTTCCTACAGAGCAGTTATCAAATTTATGTATTGAACATAGTGATTTTGAAACTGCTCTTCGTATTATTCAACCATCAGCCAAAAGAGAAGGCTTTGCAACAGTACCTGATGTTACATGGGATGATGTTGGTTCTTTACGAGATATTAGAGAAGAATTACAAATGGCTATACTTGTAAATACATTTATATTAATATAATTAAAAGGGTCCAAAAAGTTTAATATATTTGAGAAAAGTAAAATATTTTTTTTGTTTAATATCTTAGGCACCAATTCGACATTCTGAACACTTTACAGCATTAGGATTAACAACACCTACTGGAGTATTATTATGTGGTCCACCAGGTTGTGGAAAAACATTATTAGCCAAAGCTATTGCAAATGAGGCTGGTATTAATTTTATTTCTGTTAAAGGACCAGAACTACTAAATATGGTAAAAATATTTTAATAATTATAAATATTATTATACAATTATTTATTTTTATTAAAAATTTGTTTTCATTATTTTAGTATGTTGGTGAAAGTGAAAAAGCAGTTCGACAATGTTTTATTAGAGCAAGAAATTCTGCTCCATGTGTTATATTTTTTGATGAATTAGATGCATTATGTCCCAGGAGATCAGAAGGTGATAATTCTGCTACTTCACGTGTTGTAAATCAAATGCTAACTGAAATGGATGGAGTAGAAGGACGACAAGGAGTATTTTTAATGGCTGCAAGTAATCGCCCTGATATTATTGATCCGGCAGTATTAAGACCAGGAAGATTAGATAAAATTTTATATGTTGATTTGCCTACCTCAGCAGATCGTGTTGATATTTTAAGAGCATTAACAAAGGTAATATCTTATAAACTGACTGAAAATATATTTTTTAAAAATTTCTCCCTCTTGAAATAAATCCATATTTATAGAATGCAACAAAACCAAAATTAGCTGCAGATGTAAACCTTGAAGAAATAGGATATAATAGTAAATGCGATGGTTATACTGGAGCTGATTTAGCTGCTTTAATCAGAGAAGCTGGTATAGAAGCATTAAGAGAATTAATGGATATGCACTATTCGGGACAACCAGAAATCTCTATGCGACATATTGTAGTTGCGTTTGATAAAATAAGACCGTCCGTACAAGAAAAGGTAAACACAATTGATATCAATTTTTTTTATAAATTAATTATATATTACATATTCTAATTTTTAGGATATCAAACATTATGAAAAATTAAAAAGATTGTATTCAATTAAAAAAAAATCTGATGATACACCTATGGAAACTCCAATAGATACACCTATAGTAGATGTAGTTATGGAACCTATGGAAACGTGAAATAAAAATAAGACTTAAACAAATGTGTAAAAAATCTTCCATTAAAAAGTTCTTTTAAGCAGATGACTTTCACTTAAAAGATAGATATTATACACCTTAACTTTATTTTTATAGTTAAGACATTTTAGTGTTCATCTCTGACGATCGAAAATAAATTATAATAATATTAGATCTTAATTTACTATTCTTAAATAAAAAATAAATTTATTTTTAATTTTCAAATACTAAATATATGCAATATAAAACTATCTTAATAATATTTCTATAAATAAAAATGTGTTTATAAAATTTTTATAAACAAATAAATTTTATGTTCAACATATTTTTGAGTAAATTATACGATTTCCTTTATTTTAGAAACAAAAAGAATTATATATTTTATTTTATGTAACTTTATATAAATTTATATAAAGTATTACATTATTTAAAAAATTTAATAAATCTATTTTTTTCAATAATTTTTTTAATGTTTTATAATGAATTATTTAAATTTTTATCAACAAATATGTAATTATAATTAAATTTTTAATTATAAATCATATTTCTTTTAATGTAAATTATAAATCATATTTTTTTTAGAAATATTAATTTTATTTATAGAAATTAAATTTTATTCCAAAAAATATTTTTTATTAACATTAAAATATTTAATATATATATGATTTTTTTATTCTAAATTGTTATTCTTATATTCTTATAGAATATAAAATATCTTCACTACCTGTCTATCAATTTCATATGAATAAGTTATATTATAAATAAAATTATAATTAAAAATTAAATTAACTCAATCAATGAATGTTGTTATTTGGTTATAAAATTGTAATTAATAAAAATAATTTTATTAAGTGACAAATTATTAATAAAAGACAAAAAAGAATACATAATGCACTATTCCAAATTACATTATGTTTTATTCTGTGTATGAAATAACAATATTATAATGTTATGTAATATAAAAAAATATCTAAAATAGATTTTTTGCTAAAAACTTATCTAGAATGTGATAATTGCAATATTAGTGATATCAAATCAAACTTCTATTGCAAGGAAAACAATTGTTTTATAAGATAAAATATAAAACAATAATTTATGGCAATTACATTATGATACATGTGGTTCTGTTGTTCGATTTTGCACAATCCAAGGATGTCTTAAAACATCTTCTAAAGGTAATCTTTGACCTGGATCAACTATTAATAACTGAAATAAAGAATTGAAAAATTTATATTTAATAATTTTTTATTTAATTTAATTATAATTTATTAATTTATTAACTATAATTATTTTAAAATATAAATAATATAGAACTCACTTTAGATATTAAGTCTTTAGCACCTTCACTTAGAAATTCTGGAAATGTATATTGAGCTTTCCTAATTTTCATATATGTTTCATTATAAGATTTAGCTAAAAATGGAGGAATGCCTATTAAACATTCATAACAAAGAACACCAAGTCCCCATAAATCTACAGTATGATCATGTGTATTTCCATTAATCATTTCTGGTGGTAAATAATCTAAAGTACCACAAAGAGTATTTCTTCTAGAGGAAGGAGCATGAACAGACCATCCAAAATCTGCTACTTTTAATTCACCCTTTATACCAAGTAATAAATTTTCAGGTTTAATATCACGATGTATCACTTTTTTACTATGACAATATTTTAAAGCATCTGCTAATTGAGATATATATGTTGCTGTTCTAATTTCATCAAAACGTTTCTCAGGTTGAGCATTCAATTCCTTGAATAATTCTCCATTTGGGGCATATTCCAAAATTAAATATATTCTTTTATCATCATGAAAATAACCATACATTTTTAAAATATTTGGATGCCTATAAAAAAATAAATATTATATTTATTTTAATTCAACATATAATTCAAAATATTATTTATATTATTATTTTATTAATATATTTATATTATTCTAAAAATTCATAATATAATGAATAAATATAATGAAATGTAAATTAAATAAAATTTAAAATGTTTTTATAATTAAATCATTATTTGTTTCTTTTTGTTATAATATAAATGTTTAAAATTTTTACCTTAAATGTGTCTGAATTTCTATTTCTCTTCTAACTTGATGTTCAACATCAGCTTTTTGTATTTGTGCTTTAAATAATACTTTCATAGCAATAATGAATTTTGATTTCTTTTCTCTAGCTAAATAAACATTTCCAAATTTTCCTTTTCCTAAAGGTCGACCAATATCAAAATCAGTTAATACCCACTTCTTATCAGTTTGTTTCTTATTATTTGTAATATTTTGTTCCAGATTCTTTTCAATGTCTAAATTATTAACAATTTTATTTTCTTTCTCATCATCAGTTGCATTTGGTATACGTTCTGTTGTTTTAGAAGATACAGGTGGTAATTTAGGTGGTGGCATCAATTCTGTAGACATTTTAGAATTGTTTTCTTTATTTTGTTTAATATTTGTTACATAAGTACTGCATTGATTTTTTATAGTATCTAAATTTTCTGTATTTTTCAATGTATTTTCAGTTAATACAGGAGCCACTTTTGATATCTTTAATTGTTTAAAATTATTTTCTACTTGTGAAATTGTTCTTCTTTGATCCTTAAGCATCCTCAAATATTACCTATAATTAAAAATAATATAAATAATAATTTAAAAATTATTTATTGAATCAATCTATCACATAAAAAATTATATAAAAATTTATAAAATATTTCTAAATCTAAATATTTCTAAACATTTTATAAACAATATTCAAATAAAAAAGTAATTTACTATTTAAAGAATTATAAAATAATTCATTAATATTTTATGAAAATAAATAATATATTTTTCAATAGAAGAATAATTTAAATTCAAATATTTAAATTTAAATATTTCAAATAATTATATATATAAAATAATAACAATTAATACATACGTTTAAAAATTAAAATATAAGCTACAAACACGTCGTACTTTCAGTTCAATTTTAAAATAACGAATTTGAGCATTCGTTCTTCTGATTGGTCTAAATCACATATATGAAAAAGATTACAAGATAGTCAACTCCATTAAAAAATAAAAATTCATAGTTAACAGCGCTCTCTATTATAAGAGGTTAAAAAAATTAAATATTATACATTATACATATATTAAAACATTTTAAATTATATTAAAAATAATTATATTCATAATAATTAATAAATTTATTAAAACATTTTAATACATTTTTTTTTACAAATAATATTATTAATAATATTAATATAAAATCTATGTAAAAGTTAATAAATCTTTTTCATTAATCTCTTAAATATATATATATATATATTGCAATTGAATAAAATGAATATACAAAATTTTCAAAATTAAAATTTATTATTAATTATGAAAATGTTATAAATAGATAACATTACATTATAAAAGAATCTTTTTTATTTAAGAATAATAATAAAAAATTGAAACAATATTTGTATGAATCTTAAAATATTTATTTATTTTGTAAGAGTAATATAATTATTATAGTTTAACAAACATTTATAAACAGAGTTCTTTATATATCTATTTTACAGACCATATTTAGAAAAATATTTTATGCAGAAAAAAATTTATATGTCACATACTAACTTAAAATTAAATCAAACGAAGTTATATACTTTATTTTAAATATGGTCATAATTTCACTTATTGAAGTAAATTTTTTTTTGCTTCAAATACAAATTAAATTTCATTGTTTAAAAGTTTTTTATCAAATAGAAACTCTCCTAACATTCCATGTGTTTGTATCATTTTACCTAAAGATGAAATTTTACCAGCAAGATCACGCTGTCCTTTATATTGTTCAGTTAAAAATTCTCCAGTGAGATAATCTACCAACTGAAATTAAATAATTTATTAAAATAAAATAAATTTAAAACATAATATTATAACTTACATGATAATCAACTAAATTTAAGTCATTTGGATGTTCACATGTTTTAATTAAGTCACGAATTTTTTTTGTAACACTTGTTTCTAATTTAAGAGCTTTTTTCAAAGCTTTATAACCACTATTCCAATTCTCAATCTCTGCTTCCTAAAAAAAAATAATATTTAAATATTTTTTATATGTATATCTAATTCTATAATTGAATTAAAATTTACATAATATAAAATATAAATTGCATAAGTTGAAATAGTAATATATTTTAAATGTATACCAAAGGAAATCTTAAAAGAACATTATCCTCATTAATATTAGTTAATTGACCACGCATTAATAAATATTCAAGAACTTTTATTGCATGTTCTCTTTCTTCTGTAGCAGATTCAAAAAAGAATTTGCTGAATCCAGGTCGATTAATTACATCAAGAGCAAAATGAGCACCCTAAAAAAAAAAAATAAAAAATAAATAAATGCAATATTATTAATACATAAAATACATCATAAAATAAAGAAAAAAATTTAATTACCATTGCAAGATAAGTCATTGCAGCTTTAATTTCAACATTCACCTGAGATTCCAAACTTTTAATACAATTTTTATCCATATCCAACCAATGTTTTGTCGCATTTTCATCAGCAGCTATATTACCTACTATACCTAATATTAATAAAAATAAAATTCATTATTGATAAAAAAATATAATAATATATATACTTTATTAAAGTATTAAATGATATAATATACATAAAAAGATTCAAAAAAAATAAAGTAATAAATATTTTCAGAAAATATATTATATTAGTATTAAAATATTATTACAACATATAAATGCAATGCTATTAAGTTAATTAAAATGTTAGAATTAAAAATAGATAAAATAACTATAACTAGTTTTTTTTTATTAAATGTAATAAAATTTTTTATTTAAGATAAAAATTCTGTTGCATATATAAAAGATGTTTATTAATTTTCAATAATATTTTTAATTTCTCTTGATAACTTAATATAATTATTCAGTGAATTAATTAAAAATTATATAATATAAGAATAATAAAGAAATGAAACAAAAAATTAAATTAAAAAAAATTGTTTAAATGAGAACTGAATATTTCTATCTGAAATAGAAATAAAAATCTACTTTGTGACAATAGAAAAGGAAGTTGATGATATAAAGTAGTTTTGATTAAATTATCTGACTTCTCCGAACAATATGTACAGTACACTCATATTGAGTGTGGACTTTAGAATATGCAGTAATCAATACGTTTATATTGTCACGTAAAGCTTATCAAATGTTATCATTGTACAAATAAGATTGTCAATAATGGTTAGTAATTAACAGAATTACAGGCTAGAATTATGAAATTCTGTTAGTTATTCTGAAGTGTAAAAATTATAAATCAAATATATATGTAATCTTAATACAATTTCCTGAAAATAAAAAAATTACAAATACATAAGTATATAAAGTATACATAAGTATATAATAATATAGAAATATATATAAAATAATATTACATAAAAGTAATATAAATTATTATATTATAATAAGAAATTAAAACTTATTTTTTATTAAATTATTTTATTAATAAATTTTATATAATATCAAAAAATTTTATTTTGATATATGATTATAATATTGATAATTAATAATAATAATAAATCATGAAGAATGATTTTATATTAGAATTTTATCGTTATCCATGCATATAAAGTGATAATTTGATAATCTTCAATTAGGTCAATAGAGTAATGTATAATATCTCACATTAAATATAGAAATTACATAGATAAGATGATTTTAAATTATTTGTTGAAATATTTATTGTAACATATGAAACAGAGAAATATATATACATGCAATATATAATAAATAATTCAATAAATAAAAAAATTAAAAAATAATATAGAAATAACATTATAAATATATATTTAAAACATATAATATTTAATAATTTATATAAAATTATATAAAATTATATAAAAATTTTTTAATAAATGCAAGTAATGATAATAAAATGATATACAGGATATGCCAAAAATATTAAAATTCGTAAACTGAAGATTCCTGAATAATTTCAAATAACATTTTTCTTTATAAAAACTTTCGTTATGGCTTTGTTCATGAGTTATTAACAAAAAACACTGGCCAATCATGGAGCACATAGCCTAATCGAACCGTGAAAATAGCATAAATTATGTGCTGGCGATAGAACATGAACAAGTTCAAATAATATATGTTGAAGATATGTTGAATATTGTAGTTTTCTTCATATTTATATAAATATTTATATTTATATTAAATCTCATATTCAACATATTTTCTACAACATATATTGCTTGGATTATTCATGTTTGGTTGGCGGCATGTAGCCAACGCATTATCGTGGTTCTAGACCATACGTTCTATAATCCAGGGTTTTTTGTTAATAATTCGTTAACAAAGTTGTAATGAAAGTTTTTATAAAGGAAATGTTTTAAAATTACTCAGAGATCTCTAATTTACGGAAATTCCAATATTTTTTATCTTATATGATTAATATATTATGACTAATAAAGTAAACTGTTTAATGTGATAAATCTAAATAAAGAAAATAATATTCAAATATAGATTATATTTCATAATAATAGAAAATATGCATGAATTGCCTTATACTAAAAATTATATTTATATTTTATAAAAATATAATGTGTAATATAATGTATAATATATATGATTTTCTTTTGTAACTATATGCAATTCTAATTCAAAATATCTAAGGTATCAAATATATATTTATATACTAAAATAATTTTAAAATTAATATTTATAATCTCGGGTCATTAATATTTATTATTAAGATCATTTTATTTCTAACATTGTTATTCGAAATAGATTGTAATTTTATCTTTAATATATCGCGAATTGATGATATATTCATTCTGAGAAAAACAAGTTGTTTATAAAGAATATACGCATTAAGTTATTGCATTATAACACAAATAAATTATATCTATAACATCTTTATATCATTAAATATCGATTTAAATATAATTATATTAATAAATATTTATTTCTATATTTGATATCTTTTCTAGAAATACTAAAATATTATTTAAAGATGGAAAGAATAAGGAATAATAAAATCTATTGAAAAATAGCATGCTAACCTCAATAGATGTCTCATATAAATGTATTCAGAATAAATATTATAAAATAAATGATGAACTTACATGATCTTGTTGGACTGTCATTTCCTAGTGATCCATTGATGTAAACGAAAACGATAAGAAGAACATAAAGTAGCTTCATTATTAATTATTTATTAAAAGCTATTATTTTAAAATTCGCGAGAGTGCTTTTAATTTTCCCTGTTTCGGAAGCAACCTTTATACACACTGGTATAGAAGGCTGCTTTAATGAAGCTAGATAAGAGAATGTGCGTGAACTAAATATAATGTACGACCATCGATCATTTAATAATTGATCAACAAATGTACATTCGTACTTTAATCGACGGGGAGTAACTGGAATTTTCTATTCCCTTTCTTATCACGCATGCGCTTTACCTATCAGCTGACTATGACTTCGTGAAAACTACCAACGAACGTGTTGTTCAATGTTCATTGTTGGAAGAACGTCGAAACGAGAGTATTCACGTTACTTCCCTTAAATAAGTTCTCTTTAATTGTTTTAGTAAGTATATAATAATGAATAATTTAAATTCAGTTTTTTATATTATAATTATATCTATTGGATATATAAATAGAAGATGAGACTAATACAATTGCGAAGAATATATTTTTTTATTAAACATAATTTTTTTATTTGATGTAAAATATTGCGTATTTCAATACAATGAAAATATCATTGTGCAATATATCTGATATCTATAGATAATATCAATTTTTCTTTGATGCAAAAAATGTGTAATTTTTTTATATTAATGGATATTAATTTATATTAATTTTTTTAATTCTTAAATGAGTTTCCATTTTTTTTTTATTATCCGTTTTTATTATTAATTTAATATATTTTTATAAGTATATAAACAATTGTATGTTATTTAAAATTTAACAATATAGTTATTATTTCATTTGTCTATATATAATACACAGAAATTATTAAAAATATTATTTTTTATTAACGAATTATATTAAAATAGAAATAGAAAATCTAATATTAATTTTAGATAATTTTAGATAATGTTAAATATTTAAGTTAATTTCTCTAAATATATTATTTAATTGGCATAAATAATTAATGTAAGTATGTAATTATATAAATATTCATTAATTATGTTTTATCTATTATTTGATAGCACAGAAAACATGTTGTTCTTTGGAATATTATTCATATTTTTGGCAACTACCTCTGCTGAATATTGCACTGATGAGGTGAACAAATTTTGCAGTACTACAAAAAAACATGAGATAGGTGTGTAATGCAATATATACAAAAATATTTAATATTTTAGAAAATAAATAAATTTTATTCTAAAAAATTTTTATCTTTTTGTATTTATAAAAATATATAGAATATTTAAATTTTTATATTTAGGTATTGAATCAAATTGTAATGCAACATATGGAAATATTCATGAACTTTTAGTACCTCTTCAATCTTATGCATATGGTAATATTGAATATAGTTTTCGATTTTTATTAATGTCTTCTTATTTGGGAAATTATGAAAATCAACGTGAAGGATTTAAGAAATTATATCGTAAATATTCTGATGAAATGTGGGAGAATGGAATTAATTTAATTAAATATATTACTAAACGAGGTGGTTCAATGAACTTCGGACAAGAGCCAAAGTTTACTCCTGTATTTATATATTTTATTTATTTATAATATAAGAATAAAAAAGAAATATTACTAATTTCATATTTTTTTAGATGATAAAAACTTTAGAATTGAATGAATTTGCAAGTTTAGCCACAGCACTTGAAATTCAAAAATCATTTGCAAACCAAGCATTAAAGATACATGAAAAAGCAAGTAAAAAACAAGATTCTGCTATTGCTCATTATATTGAAGAGAAATTTTTAGAACCACAGGCAGATCGTGTTCGAGAATTAGCAGGTTATATAAGGGATATGAAACGTTTCATTGATGAAAGTAGTAGTCATTTATCTATATTTTTATTTGATCAATATCTTCAACAAAGTGTATAATTTGTTTATTACAGTTAAAAAGACGTATAAATTAAAATTTCATGTTTTCAATTTTTCTATATATAAGTTTAATCCATGATAAAGCATACTCCTTTTTTTAGTTATTCAAAATTTTACATTTAGAATTAATATTGTATATTAATATTATATTTTTGTCATATTTCATTTAATAAAATATATACTTAATAAATTGTTTGTTTTAATTTAACATTAAGCAATAAAGAAATATATAAATCAAATATATTATAAATCAAATATATTAAATATTAATACTTACATAATTAAAAAAAATTCTATAAAAAAAATCTTTGAAAAAACTTGTATTAAAAGAACAAACGAAAAAAAATTTTATTAACTTATTAGGTAAGTAAGGATTATTTACCTAATAATAAGGAAATTAGGAATAAAAAAGAATATATTTTCAGCATTAATTTATTTAATATATATACTTGAAATATATTTGTATTTAATTCTAAGATTATTTGATATCGCGTAAAAAAAATTTTATGTTCAATTTTTTTGATAAAAGATAATAAGATATATGACAAGATATATATAACAAATAAGTAAATAAATAATAATATATTTAATATTTTATATTTTTTATTTTTAAAAGTTGTTTATATGTAACATTAATTACATCTAATATACATAATATATCAATATGTATTTTTCATTCATATGCATATATTAGAATAATTTATTATCTTAATTACTACATATGTCATTTTAACCAATAGCATTGCTGTTATGTTTTATACAAGATGTGCTAAAAATGTTAAAATATCCGTAAAAGGAGATTTCAAATTTCAAACATTTTGCAAAAATTTTCGTTACGGCTTTTGTTATTAACAAAAAACATTGACTAGTCACAGAGTGTGTAATTTAGTCGAGTTGGAATAGACTATGTATCGGTTACCGAACACGAATAAGTCCAACATATGTCGAAGAAGATATATTGAATATTATAGTTTTTTCCTGATATAATTCGATGTAATTTTTTATCGATAAAATATCCATATTTATATATTATATCTCATATTTAACATATTTTTTATGATATATATTGCTTGTATTTGTGCTTGATCGACGAAGTTAACGTTACTATTGCGGTTCAACTAAATTACGTATTTTATGATTGCTAATGATTTTTTATTAATAACTCATTAATAAATCTATAATAAAAACTTTTGCAAAAAAAAAAAAATGTTGCTTGAAATTCTCATTTTTGTTTACGAATGTTTTAATATTTTTGAGACACTCTATATATATTTGAATCATCAATTATAAAATAAAGAGATAACTAAAAATTTTTCTAAATATAACACATTAATTAAATCTAATTAAAATCAAAATAAAATTATTTACTATGATTCATAATACAAAGTCATAAAGAATATAAGAATATATGCTTAACCATACAAATACCATACAAAATTATATTAAAAATTATTATATATATTAAAAATTTTCATATTTATTAACATATTAATTTCGAAATGTCTTGTTTCGAGAGAACAAATAGATTACAATAATACTATTTTTAAATATAAAAATTTATGTTGTAATTAATAGGAACAATACGATAAAAAATTTTTTAGAACATATATATATATATATATATAGTTTATAAAAAAAAGTAAAAAAATGGAAAACAATAATTTTTTATAATATTTGTTAGAAAAAAACTATATAATTTTATGATACATTATCTGACAATACGTAGATTTATATCTTGTTTCATATAAACCATAATTTATAATTTGATATGAAAAGTAATACAAGTATTTGTATTCATTTAATAATCAGCCTCTCATTGTTAATTTTTTCTATATTATTATGTATCTTTGAAACAATAAATAAATAGTATTAATATTGAAATATCTCTCTAATGAAAAAAATTAAAAGCGTATTGTATAT